AAGAAGGAAAGAGAAAGATAAATAAGAGAGGGAAAGATATACCCAATTGAACACAGAATTCCAGAGAATAGCAAGGAGAGATAAGAAAGTTTTCCTAAATGAGCAATACAAAAAAAAAATAGAAGAAAAGAATAGAATGCAAAAGACCAGAGATCTCTTCAAGAAAGTTAGAGATATCAAAGGAACATTTCATGCAAAAATGGATAAGATAAAATACAAAAATAGTAGGGAGAAGAAATTAAGAACAGGTGGCAAGAACACACACACACACACACACTATACAAGAAAGATCTTAACATTACCGATAACTAAGATGGCATGGTTACTGATCTGAAGCCAGACATCCTGGAGAAGGAAGTCAAGTGAGCCTTAGGAAGCATTGCTAACAGTAAGGCTAGTGGAAGTATGGAATTCCAAGCCGAGCTATTTAAAAGCCTAAAAGATGATGCTGTTAAAATATTGCATTCAATATGCTAGCAAGTTTGGAGAACTCAACGGTGGCCACTATATTGGAAAAGATCAGTTTATGTCCTAATCCTAAAGAAGGACAATGCCAAGGAATGTTCAGATTACTGAACAATTTTGCTAATTTCAAAAGCCAGCAAGGTTACGCTTAAGATTCTGTAAGCTAGGCTTCATGTGAACCAAGAATTACCAGAAAAGCAGGCTGGTTTTCAAAGAGGCAGAGGAACTAGACACCACATTACTGACATTCTCTGGATTATGGAGAAGGCAAGGGAGTTCCAGAAAAACATCTGCTTCTGCTTCATTGACTACACTAAAGCTTTCGGCTATGTGGATCATGGCAAAATGTGGCAAGTCCTCAAAAAGATGAGAGTACCAGATCATCTTATTTGTCTCCTGAGGAACCTATATGAGGGCCAAGAAGCAACAGTTAGATCCAAACATGGAACAACGGGTTGGTTTAAGATTGGGAAAGGAATTTGACAAGGCTGTATGTTGTCACCTTATTTATTTAACTTATATGCAGAGTATATCATGTGAAATGCCAGACTGGATAAATGAAAAGCTGGAGTTAAGGTTGCCAAGAGAATAACAACAATCTTGGATATGCAGATGATACTGCTCTGATTGCAGAAAGTGAAGAGGCATAAAGAAGTAAAGAAGCCTCTTGATGAGGGTGGGAAAAAAAAAGAGTGTAAAAGCTGGCTTGAAGCTTATCATTAAAAAAAAAACACCCCTAAGATCTTGGCAACTACTCCCATCACATCCTGGCAAATAGAGGGAGAAGGAATGGAAGCAGTGTCAGATTTTATATTCTCGGGCTCAAAGATCACTGCAGATGGAAACTGCAGCCATGAAATTAAAAGACTCTTGCCCCTTGGAAGGAAAACTATGGCAAATCTGGATAGCATACTAAAAACAGCGAAGACATCACTTTGCCAAAAAAGGTCCACATGGTCAAAGCTATGGTTTTTCCAGTGGCAATGTATGGCTGTGAGAGTTGGACTACAAAGAATAGTGAGTGCCACAGAACTGACACTTTCTTATTGTGGTGTTGGAGAAAACTTTTGAGAGTCCCTTGGACAGTAAGGAGATCAATCAGTCAATACTTAAAGAAATTAATTCAGGTCATTCTTTGGAAGGTCAGATACTGAAGCTGAAACTTAAATACTTTGGCCACACAGTGAGAAGATGGGAGTCATTGGAAAAGATCCAGATGATGGGAAAGTTTGAAGGCAAAAGGAAAAGGAGATGGCAAAGAATAAGATGGATAGATAGTGTCATGGAAACAATGGACATGAACTTGGACAGACCAGGAGATAGTATAGGATATAAGGGCCTACTGTGCTATGATTCATGGAGTCACAAAGAGTTGGACACAAGTGAATGACTAAATAACAACACATGAAAAGCACTATGCCAAGCATTGTAAATACAATAGAAAAGTCAGATAAGCCCTGTCCTAAAGGAGCTCACATTCTAGTAAGAGAGACAACACATATGGAAGGGTTCAATGGCAAATTAGATGGAAAAGTCATGTGGTCCTTAGGATTTAAAGATAGTGTACTGTTTTTGGTGGCTAATTTAAGGGATTTTCAAAGCTAATTTTGAATCTATGGATCTTCCCTTTACCCAGCCTACCTAACACTTTGGGGGTTTTTTGGGTTTTTTTTTTTTTGCTTTTTGGTAAGGCAATAGGGGTTAAGTGACTTGCCCAGGGTCACACAGCTAGTAAGTGTCAAGTGTTTGGTCTGAGGCCAAATTTGAACTCAGGTCCTCCTGCCTCCAGGGCCAGTGCTCTATCCACTTCGCCACCTAGCTGCCCCCTACCTAACACTTTGTAAAGGAGATTTCTACTATTTGACATATAGAAAGTGCACACTGGCTTTACTCTCCTGGAGTGAGACTGACTATATTTCCTCTCAGGAATCCCCTGTAGGATCAGTTTTGCAAAGTAAGTCATACTAGCTGTGAGCCTCTATCATTTGCCTTCTGAAATACCATAGTCAAGGGGCAGCTAGGTGGTGCAGTGGATAGAGCACTGGTCCTGAAGTCAGGAGGACCTGAGTTCAAATCCAGCCTCAGACCTAGACACTTACTAGCTGTGTGACCCTAGGCAAATCACTTAACCCCAATTGCTTAAATTTTTTTTTAAAAACATGAAATATCATAGTCAAGCTCTCTGATCCTTTAGAGTGGCAGTGAGGTAATTGATGACACAGTAGATAGAGCTCTGGGCCTGGAGTCTGGAAGACTTGAGCTTTAATCAGGCCTCAGACACTTACTAGTTGTGTGACTCTGGGAAATTCACTCAACTTCTGTTTGTCCCAGTTTCCTCAACTGTAAAATGGAAATACTAATAAAACCTACTTCTGTAAAATGGAGATAATAATAGCACCTACTTCACAGAGATGTTGGTGAGGTTCAAATGAGATACTTTAAAAGGCCTTAGTGCAGTCTCTGGTACAGAGAAAGCACTATGTAAATAATTTTCCTTCCCCCTTTACTGTCGTGCCTGCTAAATTGTGTGTAATCTTGACTGTGGCTCCTGGAAACTTGAATTCTTTCTTTCTAGTTGCTTGTAGTATTTTTTCTTCGACCTGGAAGCTATGGATTTTCGCTGTAATGCTCCTGGAAGTTTTAATCTGGGGGTTTCTTTCAAGAGGTGACCAGCAGAGGGGTAGCTAGGTGGTGCAGTGGATAGAGCACCAACCCTGAAATCAGAAGGACCTGAGTTCAAATATGGCCTCAGACCAAACATTTGACATTTATTAGCTGTGTGACCCTGGGCAAGTCACTTAACCCCAACTGCCTAAAAAAACAAAACAAAAAGAGAGGTGACCAGTAGAATCTTTCTATTTCCACTTTTCCTTCTCGTCCTAAGAGATCTGGGCAGTTTTCTTTTAAGATTTCTTGCAATAAGATGTCTAGGTTCTTGTTTTGGTCATGAATTTCATATAGTCCAATGATTCTAAAATTTTTTCTCTCCTTTCTTTGTTTTCCACATCAGTTGTTTTTGCTATGAGATATCTTTCATTTTCATCTATTTTTTTTAGGTCTTTTGACTGATGGCTGACAAAACCCAAGATACAGAACAAGTCCCACATTTTTTAACATTACCAGTGCAGGAATATGTTTTGCTTGACTCTGCGTAGTTGGTACAAGGATTTTGTTTTTCTGTTATTTTTTAATAAGGAGAAGGAAAGGAGAGAAAATAAATTTCGGTAATTGAACTTTTTAAAAAGAAGATATAGGGAAGATTAATGTGGATTCTAGGAACAGCTAGGTGGTACGGTAGATAGAGTGCCAGCCCTGGAGTCAGGAGGATCTGAATTCAAATCTGGCCTCAGACGCTTACTGTGTGACCCTGGGCTTAACACTTTGCCTCAGTTCCTCATGTGTAAAATGAGCTGGACAAGGACATGGCAAACCACTGCCATTCTTTGCCAGGAAAACCCTATATGTCACAAAGAGGTAGATGTGACTGAAACGACTGAACAACAACTCGGGTTATAATTCATAGAGCTAGAAAGGACCTCAGAGAACGTCTAGCTAGTTTAACTCCTAATGAGGTTAAGAGGCTTACTTCAGGTCACATTCAGTAAGCAGCACAAGTAAGAGTTGAACGCACATCCTCTGGCTCCAGAAACAATGATGCTTCCAATATACCACAGTGCGTACACCATGGAGATAAAATTTCAGCTGAGCCTTGAAGAAGGGGTAGAGAGATAAGCATATTATATACCTTAGGGCAGGATGGGTCAGTTGGGAGATCAGACAGAATGGAGGAGATGATGAAAAATGAAGGTCATAGGGAGCCCCCACTTTACAGACATATTGTATACCAAGTTATTTTGTAATTCAGACGTTTGAAACAACAAATTTTCTTATAGAAACCATGTTAGAATCACTGGTTGAGTGACAGCTAGTTAGTGTCCCAGGCCAGATTTGAACTCAGTAAGTAAGTCTTCCTTTCTCCAATGCTCTGTCCGCTGCGCCACCTAGCTGCCTTCACATAGTAGGCGCTTTATAAATGCTTGTAGATTGGCGGCATCTGTAATTAAATATGGTAATATTGATAAAGCAATAGATAAATGCTAGCTATTTTTGTTATCATCGTCCAAGAAAACCACGGAGGAAATTCATGCTAGCGATTTAAAAAGGTGGGGAGACGCGAACGTAGTCGTAGACCCCGCCCACGACGACCCAAGCAGGGCAGAGAGGGCGGAAGCTGGCACAAGGCTAGTACCCAGAATTCCCTTGGCTTCCGGGGAGGGGCTTTTAACCTTGAAGGGCCTTCCTCCTGGGCAGAAACTTGGCCGAGGCTGGGCGGGAGGACGTGTGGCCTGCCCAGTGTCTTCTCTCCTGCCCAGCCAAGCTAAGCCACGAGCTCGGACGGGGCTCGCAGGCCTCTGCTGCTGCCCAGAGCGGGAATGGTTGAAGCCAGACTGGGGAGCAGAAGGGAGGTGGGGACCAGGCCAGGCGCTGCGGGGGGTGAGGGGCTGGGGGGGGGAGAACCCCCAGGCGAGGGGACAGTTGCTGCTGGGAGGGAGCCAAGCGCGGCTCATTTCTCCCCCTCCTCCCCTAAGGTTTGTCCCTTGAGCTCCAGTCCACCCAGTGGTGGTTATCTAGGGGGGGACGGGGGAAAAGTCACCCCGTCCTGCGCCCCTGTGTCAGCTCGCTCTACGATATTTAACACCTAACTGTGTATTTTTTATGATTTGGGTAATGCTGGTAAAATACAGCAGCTGATTTGAGCCAAGCATGTAAATGCACAGTTGGGCTCTGAGACAAGTGAAGCTAACACAAAAGTAAGATCGGGGTAGGGGTGAGCTGATCAACGAGAGATTCCTGTCTTTTGGGAATACTGTACTTGAGTATGTTAAGTTTGTACTATATTGTATCTTCGTGAAATGTAGTATAAGTTAATACTATATATATAACTAGATAATGTCAATTTCATCTCCCATCTTCCCTCACCTTACTCTCCCTCCTTTCTCCCCTCCCTCTTCCTCTCTTTCTCCCTCTCCCTTCCCTTTCTTCCCCTTTTTCCTTTTCTCTTCTAAGGAATGTGACCGGGCTAAGAAAACGGACATAAACTGATTAACAGTGGGGTCTGGGGAAAGCTCCTCCACGAAGACTCGGAGCAGGCTGAAGTGAGGAGGTGATTGGCTCTGGGAGTCCGGCTGAAGCCAAAGGACTAAACTGCAGAGATGGCTGACTCCGCCAAGGTGTTACGGCTTTTTAAAACCTTGCACAGGACTAGACAGCAAGTTTTTAAAAACGATAGCAGAGCCTTAGAAGCAGCAAGAAAAAAGATAAATGAAGAATTCAAAAAGAATATAAGTGTGACTTCACCAGAGGAAATAGAAAAGTTGATCAAGATAGGTTCTGACGTTGAATTAATACTCAGAAAATCTGTTATACAGGGCATTCACACAGATCACAACACTTTGAAGTTAGTTCCTAGGAAAGACCTTCTTACAGAGAATAATCCTTACTGTGATGCACCTGCCCAGAAGCCATGAGTGGACAATTTGTTGCATATTAACTTTTAAATTATTTTAGGTAAAGTTACTGAAAAAATGACACCCTTTATGCCTACAGACAGAAAAACAACAACTAGAATGTGCATCTTGAATGCATTTTACACTGGAAGGGCATCATTAGGAAAAGCTAATTGTACAACAGAATTAGAATGCTTGACTACCTTTTACATTGGAAAGACATCATTTGGGAAAGCTCATTGTGGTTGAATGTTTCTGAAGAATATTTGATAAGATGGTTCATTTTCATAGGAAATCAGTCCATATATTTTCTGTAAGTTGTACTCAGATATATCATACTGTGAATTTGTTTTGTATTTCTGTGATTTTACTATGTATTGAGAAAATGAAGTGTTTTAACAAATTGACATTTTCTGTTAAATCTGGCTTGAATTGTATACTCCTCAAAGTGTTAAATATAATCAGAAATTTTAGTGTTTAGAAATGTTTACTGTTTTAGTTATTGAAATCAAAAGGGAAAGAGGGGAGGGGGCAGCTAGGTGGTGAAGTGGATAGAGCATTGGTGGGGCAGCTGGGAGGACCTGAGTTCAAATGTTATCTCAGACACTTATTAGCTCTGTAACCCTGGGCAAGTCACTTAACCCTGATTGCCTCCAGAAAAAAAAAAAGGGGAAGTTCCTTTGTACACACACTCAACAAACTATAGTCTTTGCCTTTTGTATTTAATTACCAGAGCTATTTCTTCACCTAGGAGTAATTTTATATTTTGTTAGAGGCAAAATGGATCTCCTTTTATGAATATTAAAGCCTTCCAGGTGAAAGAATAGATGACTTCATCCGGGATCACAGTGGAACAAGCAAAACCTAATAATTTAGGAAGTGGTATTTTATCAATCCATATTCCCATTATCCTAGAAAGTTTTTACCGAGGAACTTTTTGATCAAGGGGTGGTGGGAGAGTGTCATTTGGAAAAAAGAATATATGCATATTTCTTAAGTAAAACTCAATTGGCTTTAGTAGGAAGCAAGATAACATTTCTGATATTTAGTGGAGGATAGGCCTCTGCTTCCCATCACCACCACCACCCAACTTCTTGCCAGAAAATAGGGTCACGATACATTTTGACATTGCTACCATCTCCAACATGGTTTGTTATGTATTTGCTTTAAAATGTAAAAAGTGAAAGGACCTTTTAGTGTAGTTTTCCTGTTTGCTTCTCTCCATCTTCCAATTCACAATAATCCTTTTTTTTTTGCCATCACCCTCCCAAGCCCTTTTATTTTTGTCAAGTTTTATTGATGCTTTTTGCTTTTATGTGACATTCGTTTCCAAACTTTGCTGTTTTCTCTAATCCAGCAAAGCAGTTCAGAAATATTAATCCAAAATATCAGCTATGCCCAACAGCATGCCACATTCCATACCCAGAGTCCCTCTATTCAACAAAATGGGGATTTTGCATTTTCTTGTCCCTTCTCCAGGGCCAAGCTTACTTATGATCACATAATGTCCAGCTTCATGTTACTGTTCTTTACATTTGGATTGTTGTGCTAACTGTGTATATCGTCGTCTGCTTTCTAGTTAACTGCATCAGTCCATATAAATCTCCCCAAGTTTCTCAAATTTAATTCCTCACATTCATCATGGTTTACAGCACAGTGGTGTTCAATGTATCCACATACCAGTTTGTTTAGCCGTTCCCCAGTCACCATTTTTTTTCTCCTAGTTTTTTGCTCCCACAAAAAAACCCACTACTCATAAATGAAAGTAAATTTTGACAAGTTGCTTCTCCATTTATCTTGTAGCCCCTCTGTTTTATGGATAACCTGCCCTTTCTCATTTATTCACCAGTAAGAACACAAGACTAGATTATACATTCTAACTTGATTGTATGGTAAGTCTTGATGCAAAAATTGATCAATGATAATATAATTTTACCACTGTGTTGAAAATAAATGTATTTGAAGTAAAAGGAAGTAAAAGCTTTTTATTGTTACACAGACAGCATCACACCATAGTCCATCAGTACAATTCCATGTCCTTTTTATTTTTTGTTAAAAATTAAATGTAAGATAAGAAATATCTACTTTTTAAAAATTAAATACGACCAAAATAGATTTGTGTCCAATCAAGAGCAGGAAAAGTGTGACAGTATCCCGATCTGATTTCACCGACCTCCTGAAGTTTGGATAGCTATGCTTTTAGATTATGAGGAAAGTTGGCTGATAAATTGGAGTCCTGAAGTTATAAATTCTATATTGTAAAATCAGTAAAAATTTGTGGCAGGGTATAAATTTTTCATTCTAAAAAAATTAAGCTTAAACATATTCAGACCAACAAGAATATTTATGAACCCAGAAAAACTTGAGGAAACAAGCTTCTAGGCAAAGTAGTCTTTGGGATAGTTGTGTACAAGTTCCCAATTTTGGCAACTAAACTTGCCTGGCATTAGATGACCCCCTGCACACACATACCCCACGCACAAACACCACATTCAAGGTTCCTGTTCTAGGTAAAGATCCCTTCATAGTTTAAGGGGGGAAAATCCTTTGCCCAATCACAGAACTCTGACTCAAATGAACCCTTCTAGTCCTGGAGCTGACCTGGTTGTATGAGTTGAGAGATATGTCATACCCTTTCCCTAAATAATATATATAGACATGTACATATATGTGTTTTGTATTGGACCTGTGATTTCACTGATAGACAAGGACTCCTTTTGAGTAAATTAGAGACTTAGCAATTGCCCCAAAACTTTCAGTTTTTAAGAGAGTTGTGGGGGACAAGGAGGTTAAGTGACATAGTACCTGACAAAGGTAGGACTAGGATCCAGGTATTCCTGCCTCCCATGTCTGTACTTGATCCTCTATACCAGGTAACCTCTGTTGTGTGCTATACAAAAGTGTAGCACTCGTTCCAGGGCTATTCCCCAACTTGCACTTTCTTTTAAGGGTCAGGTCCCTAGAGGGGTTGCAACTACACTAAGGGTTCTAGGAGTAACCCTTGATATGGGGCTTCTAATACTGTAGCTCCTGAATCCCGACCAGTACACTTCCTATTAACAATCTCAGCCAATAGACTCAATTAACTTTTATTAGTAAAGGCGTTTACTAAGATGGTATAATCAAAATAGTTGGTACAATGCATTCCCCCTATAAAATGAGCTCATTCAAATATAAGCAGCGATGTGAGGGAAATGAGCTTAAATTTAGGCATACAAATAAGGCAAAGGAGTAATTCAAAACCCGAGTAGCCAGAAGTCCTTTCTCCCTTCGTAGCCATGGTGTAGCTTCCCTTGGGTGAGCTGTTCAGCTTAGCTCCTAGCAACGGTCTTTCTTCGGTCTATTGTTGATAACTTCTCTGAAATAAGGGGTCATACTCTCTAAAGCAACCTTCACTAGAGTGACTAGCTCTCTGCTCTCCCCTTCTGATGTAGATGCTTCCGTTTCTATCAGACACTGCCAGTCCAGGAACACTGAAACTACCATCTTTCATGCCTCCCAGGATCTTTTGTCTTTTCAGAAGTCAAGGTCACCTCGACACTTCAAATTGGACACCTGTGATCAGGAAAAAAGAAACACAAAAGAGGGAGAGAGCCATATACACAATGCCACCGTGGCTGGGTAGGGGAATGAGGCCAACTGTCCCTCCCTTACCTTCCTTGCAGGAGGCAATTCAAACCAGTCTTGTTTCACTTGCTGCCAGGAAAGAAAAAGAGCAGCAGAGGGTTATGTTACCCCTTTTGTTTATCTCCTGAGTTCCAGGCCAGCGGCCTGTTAGGGAACTCTTCATTTCCCATTGCTGTGCCCTGAGTCATCAGTTCTTCTGGCTCAACGATTGATCTGAGCACTCTTCATCATCACTGAATGTGAGCCCTTTGGTCATTGTTAGCTTAAAGTAGGATCCCCCAAGTTTCCATATGAAGATAAGAACCAGGCAGGGAATATCTGTGCATGCTTGAAGAAAGGCCCTTCTAGACCAGTTCATCCACATTACATATCACTTAGGAGGATGAAGTCAGGAAAAGCCTCTCCAAATACATTTAGAGAAGATCCAGATGGAAGCCAACACGAGTTTAAAGGCTCTTGGGGATCCGTTTTTAAAATATTTCCATAAGGGAAAAATTCTAAAAGGGGGAAGAAAAGAAAGTAACTAACAATACACTTGCCTATTTTTAAAAATATATGCGTAAGACTGCTTTGTAGATGTATTGAGGGTGAACATGAAATGGAAACAGGCAAGTTTTCACAGAACTTTGTCTACTGAAGACCATATCTTGACAGTCACAGGATTAACTAAAAGCATTTGACTCAGACTCTCCTCCAATTAGGTATCTCCATGCATATTTTAAGATCATAAAAATTTCCTTGGCAGTGACAATTGCCACTACTATTGGGCTGTAGGGGAAATTGAGGAGATCCTCCCCAGCCCCCTGTGTAACCACCTCATGACCTGACATAAAGATAAATTGTAGTTACCATGCATGACCGTGTACCAAGGAGACTGGAACATTAAGTAACAAACAAACTATGTTACCTGGGAAAGCAATTCATCTCAAGGAACATTTTTCTTGAGAAAGGTGTGTAACTGTCCAAGGAATTGATCACTCCTTGGAGACTTACACAACAAACAGGTATTTGGGGCTCTGATCAAGCCCCAACCTTTGTTAAAGATGTGTGCATGTCCTGGACAAGAGCTCACCAAGGATACATACATAAAACAAAATATCAAGATTGTTTTTCCCTGGTTTACATAGACATAAAAGGGGTCATTTGGAAGGGGATTTTTTGAGTACTTTGATGTCAGAGATAGGGACATCGAATTTCTGTTAGTCAGAAGTGGAGCGTGTGCACAGCTTCTGTTGGGTTGGAGCAGGATGCTGCTCCACTGCCTCCCTGACCAGGCCTCAGCCATTCTTCAGTCTCCCCGGTCTAGTAGGTATGAGCTCGCCTGGTCAGTGAGTGTGTATCCTTTCTTTTCTTATTCCCCCTTTTCTTTATTTTGATTATTACTTATTATATTGAATGTAATTCTCATTTTTATGTGTATGTTTTGCCTTAGTCATTATTAATCATTGTAAAATAAATGTGATAATTTGTTAAGTTTACACTGAGTATGTGTCATATTTTGAGATCTGAACCTAAATTGAAATTACTGCTCAGTCCATAATCCTTTCAGTTACATGGGCCCAGGAGGCTGAGGTCCTAAAGCTCTCTAATTAGGGGACCCTCTCAGCTATGAACCAGTAGATGAAGACCACGTTCACTCCTGAGAGAATAATGCCACCCAAAAGAAAGGTCAGGCTCTTTTTTCTCACACTCTCTGGAGCTTTATATCCCTACCCCAGAATCCTGGGGAAAAGTACAAGGCAAGTAGAAATGAAGTCAATGTACAACGCAGATCAAGTATAAGGTAGCTATTTGTTTGCTTGAAATAAAAGGCATGTTTAACACACCCAAGACCTGCAAGTGTGCATTGATAG